GACGCTGTAATTTACGTGTGGTCTTTTTGCTCATGAAGCTGCAAAGAGCATGCGATAAAAAAAAAAAAGAAAGAAGGTGAGGAAGGTGGGCAGAATAATTAAGAATTAGTTGAGTGCTTGGTTATTTCAGCGGACGTTTACCTTTTCCATTCGTCTGTTCGCCTTCCTTCTGCTCTGTTGTTGGATCATCACCATTGTTCCAATGTGAGCTGATTAATTTCCTTCGGAAGCGCTTCCACCATTTCGGTTAAGTTCCTGCAATGTTGCTTCAATACTTTGATTGCATGATATTGAAGGATGCCATCGTCCTAGTCTAGATGCTTTTCCCAGACAAAAATTGAGTGGAAGATTTTGCAGATGGCTGTTAGAGGGGAACTTCTGAGGATGCCGGTCACCTATGCAACTAGATCTTATGAACTTCAAAGCACTTCTTATTTGCACAGGTCGTTATGCGCACATATCATTTGCCTTGCCTTTTGGCTTCTTATTTTATTTTCCACCCTGCAGATCAACGGAAGGAGCATTTTGCCTTTGCAATCTCAAGATCCGCTACAGACATTTTCATCGTACCAACACGTCTGTCGTATGGATAGGGCTTACATGCCACTACATAAGAATTACCTCGGTTTAAGCAGACAAGAGACGACACATCATTTGTACATTTAAATCCCGGTCCCGATTATTATTCTGAGACACTAAATATAATGGAGATGAATCTCTCGATAATAAACAACAGTCTCACTGTACTTTCAAGTCTCTACCTACATATACAATAATGTCTTCTTATCCCACTGCTGCGTCAACACTGGATATTCCCAGAATCCTGGATACTGCTTTCGAGATGGCTGCTGAGATTGGTACATATTATTCGGTGTTCTGATTATCCGATCTATTGCTAATCCTTGCTGTTCTTTCAGGTCCGTCCTTCGATGTAGTCCGGGAGGTAGTGGAATCGGTGCAACATGCCAGCACCCATGAGCGAGGTAAATACATGGCACTTATCTATTTGTGAATACACTAATAAACTGAAACTAAATGATAGCTGTCACGTCTCTGACGACTCGTCAAGAACGCACATCTGCAATGGGGATGGGTGAGGAAGTCGAAGAAGTTGTTGAAACAGTAAACTTTGAAGACTTCTGTGAAGTTCTGCCTTCTTTAGAGGGCGAAAATCTGTTCCGTGCTGCCTTCCTGGGTTGTTACCCCGATGCTTCTGGTTTCTTCTCCGTCGGCACTCCAGTGTCGGAACAGCCAAGTGAGTTGCAATATCATTTTGATATTGATTCTGCTCACTTGGTTGGTGAACATATCCCTTCCATTGGTCCGTTGGCTTTGTTTACGCTGGCCAACTTCTCCTTCACGTTACAGAAGCCCAATCACTTTGGCGTTCCCGTTGCTAGCCTACACGAAACTGTAGAGCTGTGCAAAATTCCCAACTTCCGCTTGGGTGAATTTGGCTTCAACGGGCGTTGGAAGGTAATATTCCTATAAAACTTTGCTTGAGCATTGCATATTGATCCACCTATTAGGTCAGCATTTTTTTCCCTTTGCTCGGTGGTTCTGCCACCATGCTGCCTTCACAAGTGGCTACCTTCGTCGACTGCGTTCTTTTGCCCGCGATTGAATTGGCATCTCCTTTTGAGTGTCAAAACTTTGGCCTCGATTATCAAGCTGAATCAGAACGCCTAAGAGATGCAAACGGCCGAATTGTAGCCAAGCCAGCCATGCTCGATACCATGAGTGTACCTGCTTTCATTGAGGGTATGCGTGCACTGGTTGCTGAAAGCCAGAGTCTGAAAGCACTTTTTGGAGACTTTTTTTTTGACACCTGGTGTATGGGCATCAAAGCCCCATTCAGGGAGTCTCCTCAGACCTCCCTTACTGATATCAACTGGGAATTGGTAACTGTCATCTTCGGGATATATTAATAAACTCTTTACTAACTAACGTTAACATAAGGTCAATCTAAATACCTCCTACATCGATGTGGGTGCAGAAGTCCTGCCGGTTTCCGATGAATTTTTGGTCGGTGTACCGACAAACAGCTCACATGAAGAGCTTATTAACCAGCTATTCGGTCCCTTGGGTTCGTCTGCTTATCAGTACAGGTATGGTTATGATACAATTCTTATTGATGCTGGCTTCCGTTAATCATCTTTTTTGCACTTTTGATCACCATTATCATAGGTACGATCAATTTTCGCATTTGCGAGGCGTGGGTGGTTTTGCGCTGTACCTGAAAGATAATACACCAACCAATGACTTCGGGGCCGTCTACGCACAGGTATGTACTGCGATGAAAGGAAAGAATACGTAACACATATCATTCATCGTATGATTTTCAATCCAGGCGTACAGCAAAGTAAAAGTCCCTTTTTACAACTTTGCTGCAAATAAGGACCGAAGTGGTATTGCCATGTCTCCTTCCCAAATTTTCTCAAATTCTTTCCCAGGTTTTAAAGTAAGTTAGCTTGAAAATTTTAGTTGGTGCAAACCTGATTCAGTAACAAGCTAATATTATATAGACCTTTATAAATGCAACAATGGCAGCTCTGCCAAATAAATCTTTTGGTGTCCGTTCAGAAGTGCGTGTCAACCTCTTCAGCTTTATTGACACCCAAGATATCGTACTATTTATTATGCGGTATGCAACCATATTATATTTTGATTTGTGAATTTGATTATTTTGACAGCCTTTACAGACATTACCTTGAAAGCGACGGCAACATCTGCTGGTTCAGATCGTCCAATATCGCTTCTCTTTGGTCTGGTTTGTTTGGTGGCCTTTCCTGGGCTGCGGACCATCTTGAGCCCTCAGATGGTTCCAGCCGACAATCCTATATGCGACGGGCATCTCTCGCTTGCCTTTTGGCTGTCCACGTCTCTGGTTGGTTTGCTCGTCCTGATGACAACCACCGAGGCTGGAAGCAAGCCTACGAGACCTTTGCTCTGAGTAGGGATATGCAGTCAGCCTTTTTCCTATTTAATAGGAAATTGGTTTTGACTGTATTGAACTATGTCACGACGCGACAATGCCTTCCTGAAGGCATTGTTGAAATGTTGTTGGGTGTGTCATTTAGACCCCCACAAGGTTCGCGGACAGTTCCTGCCCAAATGTTGGCCAGGAATCGAAGAATTCAGGTCGACCTCCCCGTGCGAACTTTGGCGACATCTCTACTTTCCATCCCAACAGAGTAAGTTCAGTCGATAAAAATAATGACGCGACTGTATTTACTAACTCGTTATTTCTTATAGGCAACAACATCTTGCGTCGGCCATCGGAATGAACATCCATTCCAGCTTCGGAAGTGAACTCATCAATCACCTTTACTCGTTTCTTTCGTCGTCGCTCACAGATTTCGCTGTACAAACAGCTAGTCTGTTTGTTCAAGAAACAGCGCAAATTCTGTGCAGCCAAGCTGCTGGATGGCTCACAGTGGAGCAAACCCGCGAGGTTAAATCTGTAACTATTGCAGATTTCACTTCGAAGGATGCTTTGTGTTCCAAAGTTGATGTAAGTTTTTTCGGTTTTATCTTGATTGCGTTTTTTAATGGGTTATTTATTTATTTTTTAGCCGACCATCATCCAGTTCGGAACTTCTCGTTCTGGATCTGGTGTTAATTCTGTGGTGGAGTACCTGAGGAAGCATAGCTTTCCATCTGTGGAGGAAATTCTCGCTGCAGATGATCTCTCGGCCTTGGTAAACAAGCCTCAAAACTGGAAGATGTTGAAGTTCTCAAGAACTTCAACTATTGTACTTGCCAGGGCCTTGGGTGAATCTGTTAGTTCTGAAGCAGCCGCCGAGCTGTACAACGCCGTCTTGAATTCCTTCCAGGCATGCAACATCATCTTCATGCAAGAGAAGACCAAGTGCTGCTTGTCGGCTCCCAGGACAAAGAAGCTCAAATTTATTTCTTTTGAGTAGCTTCGCTTTTTCTGCTTGTTCTTTGTGTTTTCCTTCTCTTTTCTTTTCTTTGTATGCTTGTCTTTTCGTCTTTGTCTTTTTTCTGCTTCTCTTTTCCCTTTCCTTGCTTTTTCTTCAGAAAAAAAAATATTTTTTAGTTCTTCTTACTATAACAACTCTCAATGCATCTGGTATGATTGCTTGAATTCAATTCGTTTGAAGTTTCATCTTGCACATTCCGATCCGCATTTCCTCAATCGAATGATGCATCGCATTTTGCACACTGCAAACTATTCATATCGGATTCTGGTTAGGCCTGTCACAAATCAACCACCAGTTCAAGAAGCCGTTACCAATAAAGTAGGTAACGACCCCAAGGAATTAACATCCACTCAGACGAACATCGATCCAAAAAGTCCAACGTAAAGGAAAGGCGCCACTTGTTGCTGTAATAATTCCATGACTTTGCAAGTGCTAAGCAATGTGCAATGGTCGTAACATTCCAAAAGCAATGGTCATATCACGTGAACTGAAACAACACCGCCCTCTTCTTTCTTTTTTTTGCCACATCAGACAAATGACCGGTATTGAACTTACTCCATGAACAGCCTTTTCAATAAAATAGACGACGTCATGAAAATAAACAGTGTGGCATTCAACTGGAGACTTCCAAGATAATCATAAGAATCCGAATTTGATGCAATAACCTGAAGTGAAGTAAGTTTCTGATGCAATGATAAAAAGAACGGGGCACACACACCAAAAAAAAAAGGTTATCGTAAGGGGGAACGCGTCGTGTTTGTGCATTTGGCAGGTATAAAGCACATTTCAGGTTGTTGCATGCTGAATCTGGGCCGTCATTTATTGACGTGTAGAATGACCTTATGAATCGTTCTTATACAGCGTTCTGCAGAGTTGCCAGGAAGAAAATATACAAATAACATAGTTAGACAAAATGCACAACCGAAGGACATTCCGTCGCATATGATGTTGTCAGTAGTGTGTAATGGGGTGGTGAAAGACAAAGGAAAGTAGGCCGCAAGAAAACTGCATGGTGAAAGAAGAAAAAACGTAGGCTGAACTTTTCGCCTAAAAGGTCATGTGAAGCCTTTGTGGAGCCTTCAAATCCTCATATTCGACAACATATTCAACACTTGACCCCCATAACGAATTTCTACCTAATAAAACCACTAGAGGTTAGCATTTCAGAATCCCCGTAGCAAGCATTTCGCTCAGATGATGTACGATGCACTCATCGTTGCAATCACGACAGTGCATTGAGCAACATCAGGAAACGTCAATAGTAGACTTCATAACCAATCGGACAAAAACTCAATCAGAAACATATGCTCTATTTCCTAGCGCTTTCTCATTTTTTTTATCCCGCACAAATAAAAAGTGATGAAAATATCAGACGTGATTGATTCGGCTACACTGCTTATAACCAATCACAACAAACGCATTACTGCACTTTCATGTTCATCATCTTCACTAAGACTGGAGTTTCTACTCATGTATACCGTGCGCCAAGACCATGACAGTGGAAGAATAGCAAAATCACAACCACTGCCATTCACGCATATATCTGACACTAATCCCTGACACCTAAACACCCATTTCCGGGCGGTCTTTGAATTATCCGCTTGGCTTTGCTCGCTGATTTCGGCTGGCTTTGGCTGATGAGGTATGCTTTTCAGTCGCGGTACTAATAAATCTGCCCATGTCACTAGGTAAAGTCATCTTTATCAACTCGAAATCAGCAGGTTTCTAGCAAGATTTAATCTCCAGGCGATGCGACTGCTTTTTTTATAGTGCATTATCATCAAAACGGCTGTCATTTTACTGTTGCTACAGTACAGTGCGTTGCAGTATACACTGTGGCTTCGCGTTTTGGCTATTCTACTAAGCAGAATTATATGGAACAAACATGGTTGGACTCAAAAAAATAAAGTTTTCTAATGGGATTTTAATCTCCAGGCGATCCGACTGCTTTTTTTATAGTACATTGTCATTAAAATGGTCGTCGTTTTATTTTACAGTAATAACAATATGGTATATACTGTAGCTTCATGTTTTGATCTCTCTGTACTAGGCAAAATGATATAAAACCTACTTTAAGAAATCATGTTAGCTAATAAGATTAGTCTCAAGGCAATCTAACTAATTTTTTCTACACAAGCATCATCAAAACAACAGTCATTTTTATTTACCTGTTCTTTTTTTAACCAAGTTAGCAGTTTGAGTACTCTGATTTAGTTGTTGGTTGTCCTGGATAGCCTACTGTATATAACAAATTTTTTCAGATTTCCAAAATACTGAAAGTCAGCAAGGATGAGGTAGTGAGTATTCCCAATCAGCAAGCTGTTTGATTGTGGTTCAATGCCTAAAGCATGTTATATTAATCGCTGCTTAATGATTACTGCTCAGTTATGTCACGTGATGAACTGTTCAACCTTGAGTAGAGAGTATCGGAGTTCATATCCTTATCCCTATCCCTAAGAAAATCCACCTTAAACCCTAAACCCTAATCTACCTATCTACCTATCTACCTATCTACCTATCTACCTATCTACCTATCTACCTATCTACCTATCTACCTATCTACCTATCTACCTATCTACCTATCTACCTATCTACCTATCTACCTATCCTATCTACCTATCTACCTATCTACCTATCTACCTATCATTCTTTTTTTTTTTTCTCTCTCTTTTTCTCTCTTTTTCTTTCTTTTATTTATTGCTCTTTCTCCGTATTGAACCTTGTCTCTTCTCTTTCATATCTTGTATTATTACCATCTCCCTATCTTCTTATCTCATTGCTGCCTTCCTTGGATGTGGTAGCCGTTTCTCAGGCTCCCTCTCCGGAATCGAACCCTAATTCCCCGTTACCCGTGGTAGCCATTGTAAGCCTCTATCTTACAATCTCAAGCCTGATAGGGCAGAAAATCGAATGTACCGTCGTCGGCTCAAGGCCATACGATCAGCTTAATTATTATGAATCACCAATAAACCGGGTTTTACCCCGAGTTGGCTTTTAACTAATAAGTGCACCCCTTCCGAAGTCGAGGCTTTGTTGCATGTATTAGCTCTAGAATTACCACGGTTATCCAAGTAGTAAAGAATTTGTCAAGTAGATCATAACTGATTTAATGAGCCATTCGCAGTTTCGCAGTATAAATTCGCTTATACTTAGACATGCATGGCTTAATCTTTGAGACAAGCATATGACTACTGGCAGGATCAACCAGGTAACTACTAATGGTGGTATTTAGGCATGTGAGTGCCTAAATGCGAGCCGAGAATGGCAATCAAGCCGAAACCCGAACTCTGCCGGTATGAGTAGAGTACCGAAAGGTTGTATGAGTAAGCAATCATTAATACCAAGCCATTACAGCTTTGTACGAGATTACTACCCTTTCCTTATTGCCAGTCCTACTGTTTTCTTACCATGGTCATCTTAAAGCGAGATGCTTTAAAAAGCCCAATGGTTCGAAGGACGCTTTGTACCCACGGTTACCAACCTAATGGCCTACCGAGTGTACCGATTCGCCCGAATTTCCCACAGATCTTAATACTAGCCAGTGGCCAGAAATACACCTTATACCCAACATCAAAAGAAGCTTCGCTTCATTTTTATGCCCTTGATTGTACCCCTCGATACAATCCCACCTTTCTAGCTACTACATGGTTGGATAAACCAGCCTTGCAGTAAGCCCAAAAGGTATATGGCTTTGAGCCATATTCCCTCAGATCTCGCATTGTCCTCAGATCCTTCTTCTTTTCCCTCTGTTCCCACATGTATTCTGGGGCATGAAATCTGCGAGGAGAATTGAGTTTCTCTTGCGGAACGAAACGCCGATATCAAAAAAAAGTAGCGGTTGGCGAGGTGTCCAACCGATATTGACCAATCGCCGTTGCGCTGGTTCAACTTGTACGCCGGTCGAAGCTTAGCGAGTGTTTCACACTCAGAAACGTCTCCTAGGTACCCCCCAGGAACAGTATGTAAAGGCAATATACTACTCCCTCACCTTATTTTATGTAGTCAAAAATGTATCCTGGTCAAATGGCAACGAGATTATTTCACTTTTTTACCATCTACTTCCATCAAAAGATGTAGCCAAACCCATCGGAGCTTCGTATCCCCCGACTTTAAAGCCA